TTTGCAGGCGTTACATTATCACCTCACATACCCATCTCATCCTGTGAGCTACCCTCTCTACCTAAAATCATGAAGAGCAAGGGCTTTGAAAACGACACTGATTTGAAATTCGAAAATATTACCCGTTCTCAGTCTTGTACTGACTCGTTGTCCAATCTTAATGTCCCGAACATCAAGCTGAGAATACTGAAATCACACAACGGCGAGCCTTGATTAAGTTGTGGAATAAGATGAGCGTTCAGGACTAAATTAAAATGATATATTTGTTAATTCTTCTAGGTTTTTATTTTCGCCAGGAGACTGCTTTCCAAGTTTTCCATTCAGTCCTCTATTCTTAGTTTGGTCTGGTTATTTCAAAACAACTTTACAAATATCTAATTTGTTGATTGCTTGGTCCTGTTCCCTCATTATTTAATTGATATACTCCCATGTTAACCTTAGTGAGTACGTTGTTAAGAATTCATACCTCTTTTGTTCATATCCAGAAACTCCAGTTTGTGAAAGCTGAAGCACAAAAAGAAATAAACTCCTTGAAAAGTAAAGTTGCCGAGCTTGAAAGAAAGTTAGCACTGCAACAGATGCCAGCCACTAAGAGGAAAATGTTCTAGCTTCAAAATGGAATTGCCTATTCAAGACTTTTTCAATTTAAATTTACTTATGAGGATTATTCAAGCGTGATTTCAAGACGGCTGAAAGCAAGGTTATGGACCGAGGCTCAGTCGAGAATTACAGCTATCCAAACAAGAACAAGTAGCCGATATCCAGCCATCTTGACCAAACAAGCTTGGTCACCTAAGAATTTGTAGTTAATATGGCTTAAATAACGCCACTGTTACAGCTTATATGTTTAGTTGAAACACTGTTACCTCCGAGGGAGTCTTTGTTTTTCTCTTGAAACACTAATCTTGGCTGATAAATATGGCCATTGTCGTGAAAGAAACGTACGCTATCCAGTATGAACAAAGGCCAGTATGTGATGCTTTCTTTTCACAATATTGTGGCAATATTATCTTATCTTAAAATTTCATCTTTACTATTTTACCTTGACGTCATTATCGAATTCACTAATTAAGGCGTGAAAATTTTCCAGTCGATAATTTTTTTATAATTTTTACTGCAGTCAGATAATGAGTTACTTGTGTCAGAAATGCGAAAGAAAATTGGGGGTCACCGACTTCCTTTCAGAGATAAAGCGCGTGGAAAACTACCCTGATTTTGAAAAATTAGCGCACGTAATTCAGCGTGGTCTACGCTGGTTTATAGCTAAAACTATCGAAGGTGAGTCAACGGAGGCAAGCGATCTTTGTCATATTTTGTAGAAGTAGGTCTGTTGCGTGAATAATTTCAAATTTTACCAACGTTTTCACAAAACTTAACCCTTCAAGAGACATTTGAAACCGTCGCACAGATAAACGAAGGGCTAAAAAGAACGGAATTCAATGGTGCATTTTGCAAAAATTCAAACTTCTATTCGATGGATTTTCTTCATCATTTCGCTAAACGTAGAAAATCGGTAGAGAAAATGATCCATCAAAAGAAAAATAGGGGTCACCATACGTCCAAGATCGTTAAATCCAGGTAAAGCTATAGCAATGGCCATCTGCCCTATCATTGTTCATCTTATTACTTAGCGCGCGCTCTCATGCATGACATGGCGTGTGAATTTGCGTGCGTAGTATGGATGCGTCCTAACTCAGTGACTTTCGCCAACGTGCGAAAGTGAAAGGTGCACTGTTCTAACTTGTAATCAATGCTGGGCGAGACTTTAAACTACAAGTCCTGAGGAATTCCTACCAATTATATGGTACCGAATAGTGCTTGTAAGCTAGTAAACGGTGCGTAGTACGCGACTATTCTCTGTTGTTCCCAATGTCATAATAATATGGATGGGGTTAGTGTATTTCTTAGAAACTCCCTTCCAAGTTCTCGAACGAAATTTAACTGTGGGCGGAATAACAACTAAGAAGAAACCCATCCCTACCATAGTTAGAAAGTTGCAGCTGTAGCGACAGAAGACTTTCCCTACCCTATTTGACCAATATATAGAGCCTGGCAAAACTCAGTGTTAAGGTAAATTCAGAGGAGGAAATCCTTCTTGGGATAAATCAGTTGTGTAGAACTCGTACATTTTAATTAGTCAAAAAGACAACGACAAATGACTGGTTTAGTTGATTTTAGGGCACAAGATTAACTCCTCACGGCCACTGTCTCAAATAGTGACTGTTTCTTCTAGTGTACTGGTGAAGGGAAAAGTTTGTTCTGTGAAAAATAGAAAATAGGCCAATCGCAAGACGTATCAGTTCGCGTGTAAAGTTCTGATTGGTGCACAAATAGAATTTATTCCAACCACGTATTACTTATCGATCTCTTTCGACGCTGCTTCAGACCAAACAGGAACTCAGGAAGCTGTCTCAAAAGAACGGCGTTCATCAAGTTCACTGATTTGAGTCTAGCCATCTTCAACAAAGGGTTCGTTTAACTTTTACTTACTACATTCAAGTTTTATCACTATCCGCCAATACCTGATGTAAAATTCGATGCCAAGTTGACGTTGTTAAGTACTCCTGATCCCAAATCACTTTCACTTTCGTCACCGGCAATGGCAGGAAGTTATCTGCTGTATATTCTATCGCTGAGAGTTTTTCTTGTACCGCTAATTCCAAATCTCCTTACCTAATAAGTTTTGTGCGAACTGGGGTGCTTAAGACGCGAAAATCCGACGATTTCCGAGAGCTTCACTCAAGTATAAATTTCAACGAAATTAAGCGATCATTTCAGGGAAAAATAAGAGCTTGATCTAATTGTTAAGAACATCATGACACTGCGTTTTCACTTTCGTTTGATTAGTATGCATGAGAGGAGTTTTAGCTTCAAAGACCATTCAACGGATTCCAAGAACTAACGCGTCTAGATTCACTGTCTGAACGTTAAGTATTCCACCACCTTATAACGTCTTTCCAAAAGGGTTTAACTACAGGGCACTCAAGAAACATGAACAAGTGTTTCACTTTGGAAGAGGAAGTGCTCGCATATTTGACTCCTAAAAGGCGATCGCTAAAATTTTCGTACAAACCGTCACTGTTACGCAACAAGAATTCTCACTCGCTTGTGAACTTGGGCTACATGTGTTATCGCATGGCAATAACTTTTTTATGCGGATCGCGAGGTTGGGATTTAACCACTTATATATTGCTGGTTTTAATTTCATCAGGCGATGGGGTCGACTGGTGGTATCATTTTATTTGGATGCCACGGCAAACGGTCAAAATGCGCATCGTTAACCTCTAGTTTTTGTGTTTTCAGAAAGGACGTATAAGAATGGAAGGTGACCTGGAGGAAGCTTTGACTTTAGCGCAGAGACTTGAAGACGATACTGGACAACAGGTAGTGACAGGTCTAAGAAAGCTTCAAGAGATGGGAAGAGATACTGCCCGGAGTTTCCGTCAAGCGGCTGATACACTTGATGTATTATGGAAGACCGTAGGCAAAGGGCATGCTGTCGGAACTTCTATTGGCATAGTGGGAGGGCTTTTGACACTTGGTGGAGGAATTGCAACAATAATGTCAGCGGGAGCTGCCTCGCCCTTGTTACTGTCGGGGATGGTTACTGGATTTACCGGTGCTGGGATAAACGTGGTCTCAAGCTACATAGAGGCTGCTATGAACTCAGAGCAGATTCAGAAAGCGGAAAAGGACTGGCAGGAGACTTTAGATTGCCTAAATAATGTAAAAAGAACTGTCCAGTTGTGGCCGGATAGCCAAGAGTCAACGAGGCTGTTGTTTAAACTCCTCGAAGAACGACAGTCGAAGCTGGAGTTTGTTCGAAGATTTACTCCCAGCCTTGTGATAGGATACACTGCTTGCAGCATTCAGTAGGACAATCGGGAGCACAAGCAGTGGCCAAAGCAGGCATACAAGCAGCTGATGATGTAGCACAGGTAGTGGCTAAGGCCGCCGCGCAAGCCGTCGACGATGTGGCACAGGCAGCGGTTAAGGTTGGCGCGCAAGCAGCTGATGACGTAGCACAGGCAGTGGTTAAGGTCGCCGCACAAGCCACCGATAATGTTCCACAGGCAGCGGCTAAGGCCAGCGCACAAGCTGCTGATGATATAACACAAGCAGGTGCTAAAGCTGGCGCAAACGCAGGCAAAGTTGCAGGTGGAGTGATTATTGGCGTCAGTGCTGTGTTTCTGGCGTGGGATCTCTATGATCTCCACTTCACGATCAGAGGTTTACTCGACAAAAAAGGCTCGGATGCAGCAAAGGCTTTGAGAGCAAAGGCAGACGAACTTGACAAAATATGCTCTTGTTATTAAAAGAAAAGTTCCTTCATTGATTACTCAGGAAAACTGCTGTACACCTTCACGCTTGACTCGGACTATAATGGATGTAAACTAAAACTTAGCGTGAGAAATAGAGTGATATATTAGCCCCTAAACGTGTTTACAGTATAGAATCCAGTTCAGGTTTTAACCAATATAATTGAATTTATATTAACAATGTCCGAGGTTTCTATAATCATTTAGACGCACCGTTACTTTCCACGATTTTTAAGAGTTATAGAATCAATGTTAACCGCTGCTATCAGTTGTGTGTACCAAACAGTTGGTTTAGTTGGTAAAGAAATAACGATTTGTCAGGTTTTGCTAAAGGAGTTTCCTAGGCTTCGTGTTGTAGAAGATTTACAAGGTCAGTTTTTTTTGTTTTCGAAAACCAGGGGTAGTATTTCTCTTTTATCATATGAGAATAGCTGTTGTACATATACGTCTGTAAATTAGAAAAAGTTTGGCAAGGGATTCTGTTAGGTTTCTTATCAATACTTGAAGAAG